TGAGGCATCATATGGAAAATAGAATGAAACGTGTTGGGATTCGAAGACTATTTTCTTTCAAGAGGAAAAAATATTTTTAAATAAATATGTTCTTTTAATAACAAACAATAGACAAGGTAAGTAAAAAAAGTGCCTACATTTTTTTCTCAATAAAAAAGAGGCTTTTAAAGATTCTTATCTGTTATTGTAAAGGATTCAATTTAATGTCAAAATCCATTTTATAACACACACAGAAAGATATATATATATATATATATATATATATATATATATATATATATATATATATATATATATATATATATATTACACGTTTTACCAGTTTGTGACTGGAATGGATACAGTTTTCTTAATGTCTTTTCTTAACATATATATATATATATATATATATATATATATATATATATATATATATATATATATATATATATATATATGTGTGTGTGTGTGTGTGTGTGTGTGTGTGTGAGTGTGTAAGTAGTAATGATAAATCGTTATTATTTGAATGAATGAATAAGTATTAAACTATTTTTCAATTCTTTTCAATATTCTTCGGATATATTATTTAAATATTTTATTTTTAATTACTTTGTTTTATCATTTATTTTTTTTTAATTTAAATGGGCCTTTATCTTTTTAATTCCCCTTTCAAAAATGTTCCTTTATTTCAATAAATGAATATTAACCTTTTTTTCATATAACCGTAAACACCAGGCATAAGTTTCATACTAAATAAGCTGAACATTCAAATAAAGTAAGTTCATATTTGTGTGTGTATTTTTTTTTTTAAATCTATGATTTTATTTCATAACATTTAAATGTCTACCCTTTAAAATATTGCTAAGTGTGCCGTTGCTTAAAAAGGTTAAAAAAAAAACACTGACCTAATGCAAGACCAATCAAGATTGAGGCTTACAAAATAAGTAAATTTAGATTAGTAGGATAGATAATGGTTGACACTAAACTTGAAGAGGTTAAAATGGTAGTGATTCAAAAGTATTCTCTTGGGAGTCTGTTCCTCAAAGTAGCGATTTTCAGAAAGTAGCTATCTCACTGGAACTTCCTTCTGACCAATGGGACAGGGAGTGAGGATGATTTGATCCTGTGGACGTGGTATGAAGGGTCCTAGCTGTAAATGCCTGAACTGGTAGCTGGTAAGGGCAAGAACTCATCAGCGAGTGCAGACATATTTGTATGAAGATATTACTTAGCTAGTTTGGCACAAGGTCACAATTTATATGAAATAGTGTCGGATATCTTTTCTCTTCAGTACATCCTATATAAAATTTTTATGACTTTCTGTTTATTCCAGTTGATTTACATCGATTTATCATTCTCTCGATCAAAGAAATATTTTAGGAAAATCTATAACAAAGTGGAAATTTAAATTTAAATTGATTTTTTTTAAATATGTGTTTTGGGTACATAGTCTATTCGGAGGCAGCAATGGATGGCGGCTCGGATTGAGGAATCGGAGTGCCGAGTTCGAATTCCAGTCGAATCCATTACATTCACTTACTTCTTCTTCTCCCCAGCTATGGGTAAATAGCAGGACAGACTGGGTTACATAGCCTTGGATGTGAACTGGTCTACTGCAGAAAGAAATGGTAAGCTACTGCGGGAAAAAAAATCTGCCTCCTCAGTCATGTATCGAAAGATACATGCTCGCCTAAGCGTGTATCACGGCACATGACTGACTGATATTCACTTACGTGCTAATACCCTTCTTCTTCTCCCCCATCTATGGGTAAATAGCAGGACAGACAGGGTTCTATAGCCTTGGATGGAAATTGGTCTACGGCAGAAAGAAAAGTCAGGCTAATGCGCGAAAAAAATCTGCCTCGTCAGTCATGTATCGAAAGATACATGATCGCCTAAGCATGTATCACGCATGGCACATAACTGGCTGATATTAAATTACCTGCTAATACCCTTGGGAAAGGTATGAATCCTTTTCTTCTCCCCACTCCCGTCGGCTATGGGTAAATAGCAGAACAGAGTGGGTTTCATAGCCTCTGATGGCAACTGGTCTACCGCAGAAAGAAATGGCAATCTAGTGTGGGAAAAATCTGCCTCGTCAGTCATGTATCAAAAGATACATGATCGCCTAAGTGTGTATCACGAATGGCACATACTTGACTGAGTCTATTCGAGGGGTCGGCGAAGTTTTGGAGAAAGACGAGCAGAAAGCTATATAGTATCACGGAGGAGGTCCATGATATCAGATGTGCTATAATAAATTGTCTCGACTTCAGACCACTCCGTCCAATGCCTTGGTCTGGAGGTTTAGAGAAATAACAATGTTACATTATTTACACAAGATTACTTATTTAACTGCAGGAATAACAGGATAACAAAAATGCAAATTCCTTACTACAAACAAAATACAGTTAAAAATGGTAAATTATTTAAAGAGACACTTGTTTCTGTTCATTGTTCGATAACTTGACAACTTGACAGGAATCTGTCGAATGGTTGAATTTTCGTTCTCTAAGATGAG